TGTTTTGACTAAGCATAATCTATTTCACAACTGACCCTTCCTAAATCCCGAACCTCAGTCAACTTTCTGCTTTCCTGTACTTCTAAAAGCTATGCCAGGCTCATCTACGTTGAAAAGACAACGGAATTTTGAAGATGGTTAAAAGATAAAAGTGACGTGATATGTAGTCATATCTTTAGTTTCGCTAATTTTAGCAAAATGCTTGCCAACTAGCGAACGTTTATCTACGTCTGTTGTTAGCTAGGCAATTAGCTAGCGTTTAGGGTGCAACGGTAGCTCACCTGGTGGAGCTGGCGGCCTTGTGGTGAAGCGGAGTCCGTGCAGCAGCGACCGTGGGTTTGGGTCCGACCTATGGCCCATTGCTGCGTGTCATCCCTCCCCTTTCTCGTCTATCTTGAGCTGTACTAAAGGCTAAAAATCACTAAATATGTCTATATTTACTTATGTATATATATATATATATATATATATATATATATATATGAATTGGCGATCAGATGTAACTAGTTAACAAATCAATGTAGATTAGCTGGCTAGTTAGCTAACATTTTGCACTGTAGCGAACTGCAAATATATATATATATCTTTAAAAATGAGCTAGCGTTTTTGCTAATCAGATGTAACTACGGAGCTAACAATTGAAGTAGATTAGCTACGTAGTTAGATTGTGTTTTGCTAACCTTTGCTAACTCAATATCTGACTATTGCTTTTGTCTTTTCCCCACCTTCAAAATGTGGTTGTCTTTTCAACGTCGTAGACGGACCTAGCACAGAGCCAATCTGAGTACAGGAAAGGAGAAAGTTGACTGAGGTTTCTGACTAAGACTTGCTCACCTGTTATTGGAGCACACAACAGAAAGGGGCAGGATTTAGGATGAATTTATACCTTGTGTCAAAGTAGTATTTTAAAGCTGCACTAACTACTATTTTTGTACTTACAAAGGATCAAATCGCTATGTGCAATGTGAAAGGTGTCGCTTGCTCCGACTCTGCAGTTTCCCTCCACTCTGTAAGTGGTTTAGCATAAACATATTTTGGTTCACTCACACTGCTCTCATCAACCATTCAAAGCCACAGCAGGCAGATGTTTTTTTTTAACATTACCTTAACATTTAGCTTTGATAAACCCACTATTAATTAAATCCTGAAATTCATAACTCTCTGTAACAGACTGCAACCCCAACAGAGTACTCCTGTTATAGTTAAAACAAACAGGAATGTAGATTTTTTTATTTTTTAGGCTGCTATATAAGTTATAACTTTCACAAATTGTTGCTTGCTGTCAACAGTCTGTATAAGAACTGGCATATATATATTTATGTTCAAAGGGCAAAAACACATCTGTCACAACCTTGCAGCTCTTCCAAAGTTCAAGATCAAAATTTCTGCTGCTCCTGAAGAACAACAGACACGGCTTTGATGTCAAAAACCTTCACTTTCAGCCTTCATCGGGGTTACATGATAATTTGCAGTCAACGATAAAGATATTCAGCAATATCCAAGAAGCCTACACCCTTAATTGACCACATACAAGAAATACAGAATATGTTTCTAAGACTTAAGGCATGCAGAGATTCATTAGCTGTAAAACAACAGATGTGATGGATGATTTCATGCCCCCGTGGAAAGTGAAACAGAGTGCTCTTTGAAATGCTGAATTACTGCAGGAGCTCCATTAAGAGAGAGGATGTCAAAAATCATGTAGAAAGCCACTTTAAAGAGGCCAGACATCCCATGTCTGCTTTTTCTTTTATTGCCATTGAGAAGGTGTCTCTTGGTCCAGGAGGAGGTGATTTAAATTTCATTAGAAAAGAAAAAGAGAGACCTTTTGGATCTTTCTTTTTTAAAAGTCTACACCCAAGATTAATAAATGGGGGACCTGATATTTAAACATATCCTCAAGCTGTTTTAATATGCTACAGTGTCGGATCCTTAATTACAATTGGTGCTATCATTTTTAATGTTTTTTAAATACTAGCATCTAAGTGTCTATTTGAGAATTAACTACACATGTTATCTTGTAACACTGATGAAAGCTTTTACAGCTAAAACATGTTGGTCTTTACACTCAAAGCTTTGTCTTTTGTTCATAAAGAGCAGCAGGAGTCTCTTCATAACTTCAGGCATAAAGACAAACTCAGAGAATTGCTCGTGAGTGCCTCACACTTCCCCAGATGGTCCAAGTCTATCTTTAATGTTTCCCATAGAAGGACACACTGAAGAGGCCTTAGAGCTGTGGCACTTTATTTGGCATAGAGCAGGCCAAGGCTGAGCTACAGTGCATGTAAAACATGAAAGCATGACTGTCCCCACTGTGAGTAACTGGTAGGAGTGTAATAAAGCCCAACATGTGAGTAATTTGTGACACAGGTGCCATTAGAGTGACCCATCGTTCATGTTTATTCACCAGCAGCTGAAGGTGATCCCTGTGGTTTCCTGTACATATTTTCCTTTTTAAATAACATTTTTGAGTTTCGCATCATATCCTTTTGATTAGAAGGAACCTGCTAGAATTAAATAGGCACATACAAGTACTGTATGAACCCCATACAGGCTGACCTCTGTTGAAACATTCAGCTTACTTGTTGAAAAAAAAGCACCACTGATAAGTCAATTAGAGACCCTTATGGAAATCACATCTACGTTGCTTCCGCAATTGATGGTAGGCTGGAGAGTTTAAAGGACATTAAGAGGAACTTTTTGCACTGCGAGAGAGAGAGTGCTAATGTACAGGGTGATTCAACAGTATAAACAAGACTGCTCTAATCCACTATAGAGCACTGTATACCCTGTAATGATGTTGCTGTTCCTGAAGACAGCGTTTTATTGTCTCTGTCACTGCACTAATTCTAATCCCAATTCAAAGTACACACGCATGCGAGACTTTTCGCTGACACAAACTGATGGAGCATCACATTATTGGTCCTTGGGCTCAGCCAGGGAGAAGAAATTGGGAATTTTCACTGTCCTTAATGGAAATTGATCTGAGCAATTTGTTAAAACAGTGACAAGGGCAACTGTGTTGTGTCAAAAATGGCATTTTTTAAGATGTGGACACATACAAAGACCGGGCACACCTGGACCTAAATTGAGAGACCTCAGTATGTAATATGTTCCAGGTCATTAAACACACCCTCTGAGGGTATTAGTGGCTGGGTGGTGTGTACTGGATCTGAGTGCAGACCTCCCTCTTATGTTTTGCACTTTAGGGGAATGGCAACTTTCCTTATTAGAGTGGATGGATCACACTGACCTAATCTGCTATTATGCTTTCAAAGACTAGTGTGCAGTAATTTCATCACTTTGGCGAGTGGAGACAGTTAAAACGGACAATCTCTCAATATCACACTAATCAATCACTTTTACAGTACATTACTGTGAAAGGGAGCTTTGCCCCATGAAGTGCAGTCTGATATAAATAGCAAATTGGCTTCCTTCATGGCTCTTTTTCAATTTCCATCAGTATTCGCTGCATGTGTCTTATGCGCTCACCCACCTCATGAACACACATGCTCATTCAGTTCAGGCTCTGAGCAATCACATAATGACACATAAACTGCGGCACGTTCTGCACCACAATGAAGTTTTGAAGGATTGGCGTTTGTTCAAAAAGCACATGACTAGTTTGAGGGTGGTTTCAACCTTTAAAGATAACTATGTGGTGAAAAATTGTTGAGTTACAGTTAAGTAGATAGGTGTTGATACTGCCCTTCGAAACAGGAAGCGTGCTTCGCAAGTGCACTAGTCTCGCCAAATGAGTTTGTGTCACATCTCGCGGATCCATTTAAAATGCCCTGGAGGTGCTCCACCCATTATGAACTGCCCTTTAATTATAACAGGCTGCTGCTATTGTACAAAGAGTTGCATATCAGATAATTGTGGCACCTGTCATGTTGCAGCAGTGAAACTCAGATGATGTGAAACTTGGAGCTACAGTGGTAAGAGGATGTATTTATTGTAAAACAATATCTATTAAAAAGAAATATTCCTTTAAAGATTTACTACTCCTATAATTTTCCTTTTTAAGGACAAAAAAGTGTTCCCGTGGTACTCTATAATGTGCACTAACCTTGTTATTTATGGCACTTTTATGTCTTAACATTCCAACATTATTATGGTCTTACATTTGGGACCTGTATTATGTGTGATATTTTCATTGTATCTTAAATTTTCTTATATGATGAGGTACTTTTTATGTCTAATTAATTCAGCTCACAGCAGACATATTACATTTAAATCAGCTGTACTTTAAAGGTGAATTGAGACTTTCCTCTCCCGACTCCCTGCATGTCTCAGGTCTGTAACATCCAGCGTTTTATATAATGCAAGTCTGCAATATGTGTGATGCTCCTTCAGTCAAATCAGTGGGATTTGAAAGGATTTGTCACCAGTCCACCAAAACTCCTTTTCTGACACATGTCCCATTGCCTCCACGCGGCAGACAATACGCTTCAAGATGAATATGCGCCAAAAAATAGGCACTCAAAACGTGTTATCCTCTTCTTAGAGGCATACTGCACATTATGATGAAGGATGGGTTGTCTCTGGCTTTTTTCTGCAACTCTGAGAGGATTACCCATTGTTTTTTTTTCTGGTGGGAGGATATTCATGTTTGTTTGTTTTTTTCTATATGCTGGATATCCCATTTCCACAGATCTGAGCCATGAGGAGTGCCTGTCCCGCAGCAAAGTAAAGCACCAGGTGCTGTCTGATACATGTGGGTGCCCAAGTTATTTGTGCTTCTGCTTGATCATGATGGGCATCCAAGATTGATAAAGATAAGAAAATAAAAGGGTATTCAATATAGCCTTAACACAAGGCAGTAAACACGTCTTACGCCTATAGGGGGGTGAATGTGATTTTTTTTTAAGTGCAGCATTGACCCAACACCCCTCCCTTCCTCCATCCCTCCCCACCTTTGCAGTATCTTGTGCTGGACCATGAGCTACCAGCCCATCCCGGAGTATCACAAACACCTCATAGCGCCTCCTCTCTGCATGAGCCCACCATCATGTTGCAAACATTTTCCTTCTCCTCCTCAACCACAGGGAAAGAAACTCTCAGTTCGTCGTAAACAGACTGCTTTTAAAACTGCAGCCCAAATGACATCACGTCGCTGCAGTGCTGCACTGTCCATGAAAGGTGTCAGTCGTTTTCTCTGATACCAAGAATTTGTCCACCGACCACTTGGCTCTGCTCTGCTCCAGACATCATGGCGTGACAACATGTATTCATTTATATCGGGCTCTTATTACGCAGGTGGACGCCTGCATGAGGAGTAGAGGCGCATTTCCAAAGGCTGGTCTGTTCTCTCTAGGACACAGCAAGATTTCCTGCAACATCCCGCCCGGAGAAATCGACCGCATTGCTTTTGTTGAGGAAGCGGACAGACCAAGTGATCTATGAAAACTAATTGCTCGCATGGGTACGCATAGTATTAGAGGAGAAAGGGGGGGAAAACCACGGCATTAGTGCATGGGTGGGATTCCTTCATTGCGCTTCAGACAGAGGAAGTTGTGACAACAAATGGCTACAGTCATGGCAAACAACTGCTTGTGACACAGGCGTGATAACTGCGCTTTCGTGCTGTAATTACTGGCAAACCGGTGTCGACGGAGAGTTTTCGACCTTCGTGATTTTTTGACGGACTTGAAGCCTGAATTTGACGCCAACCATCATCCGCCAGAGGCTTTTTTTTTTTTTTTTTTTTACCCTATCGCTTCGAAAAGAGCCCCGGACTGCAGTTTTTCTGTCCTGACACCATCTGTACCGCAATTCATAACAAGCGTGAGGTTTATTAGGGAATTTAATCCACCGTATTCCTTCGTTACAAACCCGTACGCGGGGAGGGGGGTACTTGAGACGACCACGTACTGACGCTTTAACCCCTTTTGAACACGGGCTCGGACGCAAGCCTCGGACTCTCCTGAGCTTTTTTGGATTTTGGGGGATTTCGGCTTTACATTTTCTGCCTTTACGCCTCAATCGGATCGCACTGGGATTTAAGGTGGGGTTTCATCCCGACGCAGGTAACTGGAAGATATCCAACTGTCTCTTGTTGATGACACTTCGGCGGCAGATCGTCGCTCATCACGTCCGTTGGATCTTTTTTCATTTTATTTAATTTTTTTATAGCACAAACCTTCAGCCAGCCCGACGAGAAGGTTTTACGCGTGAAATTTGGAATAAATGAACTCCCGTCGCCAGCTGAGATTCGTTGTGAATTTATCCAGTGACACAAGTGTATGGACGGCGGAGATCATGTGCAGTAGGAACAACCTTTCGGCATCTGCTTTATTAGTCCCACTTCTGGTAAGTCACTTAGTAGACTTGGTGAGAGATGTGGAGATGGACTTTGCACTCCTGACACATGTGTGGATGGATGTGTGCCTCTGACAAGCTCAATAGTGTCCAAATCTATCTGATGTGCCGCATTGATTGTGCAAACTACTAAATCTAAAATAACGGGCCTGCAATGTGATCTATCTATCTATCTATCTATCTATCTATCTATCTGAAACATATATATTTCTAAGTCTTACTTGCATTCATGTGCAAAGCTTTGCTGCACTTTAAAGGCAGCCATCCACAGCAGTCTGCAGAATAGTATGTCTGCCTGTCTTGCAGAGATGTGTTCATGCTACTTGTGATATTCAGTCCTCACGTGGTGGAGCAGTAATTGATAGTGTTAGTGCTGTTATACAGTCTGTTAGACGGAGTCAGACGGGGCCCCCAAAACAGCCCCTGTTGTATGGTAGTTGTGCCGTGGCTCCCAAAAACTGTGCAATGAAGATGGTTAAACGTTGACACATGAGTTGAATTCCCAGAGACTGGAGTGCATGTGGAAATGGCCCGGGCGTGTCTGCATCAGCACGACGCAGAGACTTTTCATAAATTAGCAGCAGCGCTGGAAATCCTCCCATCAAGGCAACATTGCACTGAGAGAGTGGACAGTTTGACTGTGAAGCCACAGAGCTTGAATGATGAGAAAAAACTATAGTGTGCCTTTATTTTTTTGTTAAAAGCATGCAGTGAGATGATTATTTTGTTTTATGGTGAGTGGAGGCCTCAGGAGCATGTGTGCACTGTGTGTTAGAGGGCTGCACATCACCTTTGTTTCTGACAATCAGCTAAGCAGGTTTAGAGATGATAAAGAGATACAGAAACACTGATGCAGCATGATAAGCATCTCATGGGTGCTGTGAGTGAATGCTGGCAATTACATTTTTGTAGCTGGAATTTTTATCCCCTCTCATCATTTTCCAGTTTTTCAATAAGCTCAGCCTCCTCAGATTCAACCCAGCATTTGTAGGAAGTTTGTTCCACTCTGACTATTCTAATTTTGGCATGCCAGGCCAGAGAGGTCAGTGTCTGGTCTTTGCAAATATCTGTTCATCACTCAGAGGACATCGGCAACAACAGATGGGAGAAGTGAGGGTCCAGGATGCCTGTATGGAGGTAGTGAGGCTGTAAATCTATTAGATTGAGGTGGGGTTAGATGCCAATATGCTTACAGTAAAGTCAAGTGAACATCCCTCATATATAGCTCTGCTTTATCCGCATAATACCTTCCAAGACATCCCCTGGGGAAGATGTAGGCATTGGCCAGTAGTGGTGCTACATCAGGGCGTGCAGTGAGTGTTACTGCAGCTTGCAGTGCTATTGGAAAACGGACTACCAGCTGCATCTACTGTATACACCCTCCTTTAGTGAGCCTTAGGACTGTATGTACGCCCCTACATGGAAGGGCACCACCTCTCTACAGCTGTCTACTGAGATTACATAGAGAAATGAAAAATGAAAGTTGTCACAAGGTCTTGGCATTGTTCCATATTCTGACAGATGCCTCTTACGTCTAAGAGCAATAAAAGAAACATACTGTACGGACCATGTTAGGCTTTTATGCTAAAAAACAAAAACAAACGTACAAGCAGCCCGCTCAGGGGCTTGGCTCACTGTTATTGTTAAGTGTTTTAGTAAAGGCTGAACCCTGTGTTTGTGACTGGCTGAGTGAATAGAGCAAATTGAAATTATATTTGGTTAAAGCTGTGCATCATACAGGTTTTAACATAAGGGACTTGAAAAGACTCCTAAAAACAAAGGTTAATGAGGTTTATTCTTAGGAGGGTTGATACCCTTGAGCCTTATTGGATTTGTAATTTGCATTAGCAGTGCGTGCAGCAGTACTCTTATGTAGTCAGATGTCTTTTTTACTAGCTGTGTATGTTGCAAGTGGTGATTATCAGGTCTTTGGTTTGTCAATGTGTTGCAGGATGTTACAACAGAAGCTCAGAGCACTTGCTGTCATGTGTTTGCCTAATGAAATCAGGCATGATGGTCATTATCGTTATCATGCATTATGCCAACACTTCCATGTTTAGCAATTCTACTGCAAGCAGGAAAACTACTGCAGAACCAATTCATATCTCAGCAGGTAATGCATAAAACTAAAGTGACAAAAGCATGTGTGCAGAGGTTTCTGCTTTCTAGCTTGTTGTATATGGACCGTGGGGTGAGATTAATGGGGTCTCTCTTCCTTGCCATTCTATTGCATTGTGTTACAGCAGCTGCTCATGGTGCTGCTGGTGTCATGTGTTTGCATTATGAAATCGGGACTAGTAGAGGGTTATCAGCCAGTGCAGGAATGAGTGAATCACAGCAAGCACAAGCTATTGATCTGTATTTGGGAGTATAAAATACTACACAGCATACTGTATAAACCTGTTTTTGATCTCTATTTGAGGGATGGTGAAATAGTCATTCACAGTCTGACATTTGCAAAATGTACGTTTGCAAGTTGCTCTAAGCTGTTATTCTAGGAGTCAGAATGGCATACAGTAAGGGACTTTTAGCATTTAGTCCTGTACACTATGGGTTGACGACATGGCTAAAATCTTGTATCACAGTATATGTAATTTTATATCACGATACAGTAAATGTTCTGTGAATTCAATTAAGAAATTGTTTAAAATAACCATACCATGGGTGCCTCAGTAGAGGTGGTACCACGTGTCAAGGGGTGAGCCCTTACTGCAGTGGCCCGGGTTCAAGTCTGGCCCCAGGCCCTTTGCTGTCATCCCCTCTTTTCTGTCTCGCTCAACTCTCCTGTCAATAAATCTAAATGTCAAGAAATAAAATAACCATACAATACTGCACTTCATCAGATCATATTTTCAGTCATGTTTGATTACTTCCTTCTTTTATTGGAACTTCCATACAAACAAAAACAACTGCTTCACATTCGTGGTTGGTTTTTTAAATGATCTTTTTATTGGGAAATCCATGTTATTTCACATCCATTGACAAATACAAATATATTTTCAATTATTAACAGCAAAATTATACAGAGCCAAGAGTTTTGTATCTGCAATAGAACTTCTTGTTCCAAAGGTCTCCAGCCTTATGGCTGATCCATTGTCCATTTCCTTTTATTTTAACTATATAATAAAGAACACAATTGAACTTTTTACATCCAGAGGGGTATAGGAGCAGAAAGTAAATACATACAATGAGTAAATAGATAAGAATATCTGCAGCAGTTTGACTTCATTTAGTTGTGTTCATATGACTGAAATACAGTTGGAAAGAAACCCAAAAGAAACCCTGTATAAGAAATAAAAGGTGGACGTTCCTTTAGCTTATTATTTTGACAAAGTCTGGTCTTAAAAGTCTAATAAACTGTACCCATCTTTCCTAGTGTTTTCTGAACATGTCCAACTTTAGGTTGAGAGAAAAAAAAACCTTTTCCATAGTATATATATCTATTGTCACATCTATCCAATTATTAAGTGTAGGTCCGCTCTGCAACATCCATCTTTCAGTCAGGGCCTTTTTTCCTGCTGCCAGTAATGCACCCATTAAATATTTGTCAATAGCTATCAGTTCTGGGGAGATATAGCCCAAATACATATGTGTGTTAACAACCTTCTGTATTGCTTTATGTATATCTTTCCAGTAACTTCGTATTTTGGGACATTCCCAGAACACATGATAGTGACATGCAGCCTGACACCCACAGTTCCGCCAGCACTGAGAATTGCCATTATTTTGGTGTACCGTCCTGAGTGGAGTGATGAAATATCCAGCTACATTTTTCCAGCAAAATTCCTTTTGTAATTTCCATTGAAACATACAAATGTCCTCCCATTCCTCATCCGTTATTGTCAGGCCTCCTTCCCTTTCCCATTTGTCCTGTATATATTTTGTTGAGGACGTTTTTAACTTTTATACAATTGGGATTTGACCCCTCTTTTAATTTTTGTTATTATAGAAATATATTATTTATGTTTTCTTGTCACTCTTTTCTTCTGCGGTGGTTTGCGAACTAGCTCAGAGGTGCATTACTGCCACCGACTGTCGCTCTCAATTCTCTCATGAGATCAAACGAGAATCCAGCCTTGTTACATAGCCTACCTTAAGACACTGAGGGACAGCTCCAATGGTGGAATTGGCAAATATGTACTGGTAGACACATTTCTAATATCACAGGGTATTAACCTTCATATCGCCCAACCTTACTGCACTCAATTATGGTCAGTATCAAAGCACCGCACAGTAAGGTGTGCTGGTTTGGAGGTGAAGAGACACGAGTCTGGTCCCAGCATTAATTAATGAAAAGTAGTTTATTGAAACTGAGAAGGGTCCGTGGTCTTGTTATGTGAAGGAATCTTTATTTCCAACTTTAAAACTCAGACTTCCTTTGCATTCATACATTGTCTGGAAGTAAACACCAAATGATCAAAGGATATTATGATGCAAACTGTGACACACTTAAAAGAAGTGATGTCAGTGAATAAACTAGTTATTTTTTAGAATTCTGGACACTGCATGCAGAACCAGTAAAGAAAGCAGAAAATAAGTACCAATTAAGTTGTTATCAGTTGACAGAATGAGATAGATGTTGCTCCCAAGGCAAGTTAAGCTATTTAGTGCTCAAGATGCATGAAAAAAATTGAGGAATAGTGTAATTACAACTAGCCAAAAAGATCAAAGGGGTAGCCACCGAAGCACTGAAGCAATTACACTAGAGCTACCCTTGGAATCTATTTTTTAAGGTTAGTGAGCAACAAAGTGACAGAAAAAAGCAGTGTAGCACTCCAAGCACTGAACACTGGAGGAAACACAGGTAAATAACATACAGGCCTCAAGAGGCATAAAACACTTTCCGACTTTGCTGCATCATGAATTTCAAACTAGCGTAAGGCAAGAGCACTAAAATATTACACTAAAAGGTTACTGCAGTGATTTTTTGTGTCGTAAACAGAGCTATTGATCACTTATGTGATATATTTGATACAGTATGTGTAGATTAT